TCCAGCAATTTTCTTCGAAACCATTTTGTCTTTAATCTTCCTAAACCTTTTCATGGAATCACTTAGAAAGCACGTATAAGAAAAATGAAATGTCTTTAGCCACATTGTTGCTTTTGCCATCACTATCATCTCCATAGTTAGACTACTTGTAGTCGAGAGAAAAGCCTTGCTAACCTTTATCCCTCGAACAGAGAATAGGGGCTTTTGAGCTAATATATTATTGAAAGATTCTCAGAATATATTGGACAAAGAAGAGGAAAAATATTGACAACTTAAAAGATCTGAACATCAAGGAAGATTGGCTAATAAACAGCATCCTTACTCGGAAGCTGAAATACTTTGGTCATATCAAGCGCCACGATGGATTGGGAAAAAATATAGCAGAAGGCATGGTTCAAGGAGGGAGGGGCAGGGGCCGACCGACACGAAGATGGGCACAGGGATATAAGTATGGAAGTACACGATGCGGGAGAACTGGTGAGAGAACGAATTTCTTTCAGGCAGACTTTGATGAGAGCGACGTTCTGCAAAGGACCTACTACATGATGATGATGATATCCCTCAAACTAGAATCGTAACAGCTCACGAACTGTGTACGTGTGGAAGGATGGATCCGTCTGGGTAAATAGCCGCATCTCCGTCGGCAAAATGTTCAGTTAAGGTTTCAACTTCTGTCTCAAGCACCAACAGGACTTCTTTTCTGCAATCTTTATCCAGTTTTATGCAGACTGAAAAGGATGTACACTACTCTACTGGCACTCTTACCCATTCCTCGCCAGTTTCTATGTCCTCAGTTGAAAAACAACTTGTTGAATAATGTCCTCAGCCTGACCCACCCAGGATTGTCCTCTTTTTAACTTGCTACACGTTTTCCTGCAAATCTCACTGAGCAATGGATGGTGTGTGTCAGCAGTGATACGTAGATACGCACGTACTCGACAGATCACTGTTTTCACTTCGATGGTGAGAGATCTGAACCACTTGATCACTTGAAAATGGAACGCAGCACACCTTCAGACAAGCAAATGGAGAAAAATGGAAGCATCAACTACATACGAAGTTGAAGGTTTTGAAAAACCGTTTTTCAACTATAAATCATTATTTGTAGACGGTTCTAAAATCTACTATGAAATCTATATATATATATATAAATATTAGGGATGTACCGAATTGTGATTTTCACTATTCGACCGAATACGAATAGTGGGACCAACTATTTGGCCGAATACGAATAGTGTATCATCATCATCAGGTGCCTTGCCGACTGGCGTGGGAGATTATACCTAGCCACAATCTGCGATCTCCTGCAGCATGTATTAGTTCGTGTGCTGACAAACCTCCATGCCATGCAACAAGTCTGTCAAGAATCTTCTCTCGTTGTTTTTCTCTATCCCTCCTTCCACAGATCTTTCCAGTGGTCACCACATGTTCCATTTTCCCTCTTCTCATAACATGGCCGAAAAATGATGACTGTCTCCTTCTGATGTCTGTGATTAGTTGTCTTCGGGCTCCCGCCTCTTTCAAAACCTATTGGTTGCTTTTTTTTTTTTTTTTCTGTTCAAGGTATTTTAAGCATTGTTTTGTAAAACTACATCTCTAAAGCCTAGAGAAATTGTTTGGCCTGCCTACCGATTGTCCAGGACTTACAACCATATGTTAAAACAGGAACAATAGGAGAAAAATAGTAGCAAGCAAGAATTATTTTTCTAACCTTCAATGGCAAAGATATATTGCATAAGATGTTCTTCATTTTATAAAATGCAGGTATTGCCTGTCGCCTGTGCTCTTTTCGACAGCGGTGAGGAAAGTATCTCAAGTATCTTTGTGTCTTCTGTATTAATATTACAATTTATAGCCGACTTTTCTTGATTTTCGCCCCGGCACCCCTGGCATACACACCCAGTTTGAGAACCTTTGCTGTAATGCCTCGGTCGAATCAGCAGGCAAGACATTGAAAGCTGCTCTACCACGCAACAGGGTCGCAGTTTTCCCGCTACTACAAACTTAGGCAACAGCAACTATTGTGTTAATGAGAGAATTATTTCAGTCCATCGCAGTGTATGCAGAAATGAGTGTAAGGTAACCACTATTCGTATTCGGCCCGACCGCAACTATTCGGCCAAATACCGAATAGTCATTCGGCCCACTATTCGGCCCCGAAGCGAATACGAAGCGAATATTCGGTACAGCCCTAATATATATATATATATATATATATATATATATATATATATATATATATATATAATATATATAGATGGTGTGAATTTAAAGAAGAGAACACACACACACACACACACACACACACATATATATATATATATATGTGTGTGTGTGTGTGTTCTTTTTTTTTAATTCACACCATCTCAGGGACCGAGATTTCGTGGGATGTTTCCGGGAAGGTCCAATAGAATCGGAGTGTTAGAATGTGAAATCTTCTTCTTTGCATGTCAGCAGCAGGTCTTTCGTGGTTCTTCATAGCTGCTCTGTACACTTTGCTTTTGAGACCAGATGTCTTTTCGAAGTTCCAGGTAGAATGAGCAGGTCTGCAATATGTGCTAGGTGTTTGTGGCTCTGTTTGACAGGCACACTGTGGGGACTGCACAATCTTTATTTTAAGCATGTGGTAGTTGAGCTTGCAGTGTCCTGTTCGTAGATGCAAAATTGATCTATGTAGCTTTCTCTTGAGTCTGCTGATGTTGTCTTAGTGAGTTTTACTGGATGTTTATTCTCTTCACAATTCCTTGTATTTTTCCTTGATGAGTGTTTTGATTTCTGTTAATGACAAAGAATGGGTGTGTTGTTTCTTCTTTGTTCCATTTTTTGCAAATCTGTCTGCTAACTCATTTTCTGGGCTGTCACATTGAGCCGGGATCCACTGGAAATCGATGTGTTTCTGGGAGTCTGTTTAGCTGGCGGGTCAGTTCTCTCTCCATTTTGTCTCGCGGATCCCTCTGAGTCGCCCGGAGGATCGACATGCAGTCACAAAGGAAAACAATTTGGTGTTTTTAATTTTTCTTTCCTCAAGCACTTTGGCTGAATCAATAATTGTTTGCTGCTCTGCTCTGAAGTTTGTTGAAAGTCTTCCGGGTGCGCATGACGTTTCTGCTGTGGTCCCATCTTGCAGCTTGATGGCCGATCCAGCTCCTCTGTTTTTGTCTGCTCCCTTCAGTGATCATTCGGTGTATAAGTGTGTCCATTCGTGTTTTGGATAAGAGTTGTAGACATGTTCAAGGGCCTTTGCATGCAGTACTAGGTCACATTCTTCAGCCTTTCCGTGTATGCCTGGAATTGTTGTTGTGACAATATAGTACTTGGAGGAAACGGAGATGTCGTTTTTAAGACGTATATTGAGAATCTGCCAGAGAAATTAATGGGATTGCTTGAAGGAAGCTAATGAAAGCATATCAATACATACAGCTATATGGAAAGAGGGGGGGGGGGGGGGGGAACTGCGTACTTCCGGCGATTTAAATTGCAGAATTTCGGCGACTACCGCCACCGCCAAGAGTATCTCCCGCTTCGCGTGTCGCTGAGCTGGCATAAACCAGATGGCTTTGACTCACGAGCAGCAGCTACCGCATCTCCTGCAGCTTCCTTCATTTTATTTGCTCGTGAGTCCCAGCCATCTATTTTAGCCCCACTCCATGCGGCGCGTAGCGGCACGGAAAATACTCTCTGCAGCGGGCGGTAGTCGCCAGAAGTCAGCAGTTCACTTGTGACTGAGGCCCTGTTAGGTATATTTTCGGCCTCGATAATTTGGGACCGTTATTAGGAGGATGGCCTTTTTTTTTAAACCCCTGACATTCTCAAAACCCGTCCATAACATTTGTGTTCAAAGGCATTTATGCGCTGTTCATCTTGTGTAATCATTGTCCATGTCTCACATGCGTATGTCGCAATGGGAAAGATGCAAGCTCTTAGAAATTGTCGGTGTCCAAGTTAAACAAACAGAGTGACAGCACACAGCCCTGACGGACTCCTTGCTTGATGTCAAACCAGTCTGATGTTTTACCATCTAACCGCTGCTTGTTGGTAAGATTTGCCCACGTTAAAAAACAACAACATCGTACTTCAGCAATTGGTTGGTTAGTTGCGTATCCTTTACAGGACGTTGCAGAACCAACCCCAACAGCCCCTGGCTGTTGTGTGGTTTTTCTAGACAAATTTACGTCCAGTAGTTTGCCATTGCCAACTGGACGGTCGGCTTTCTTGATACCACTGTCGAAACCAACGCAAGGCGCATGGCCTGCAGCTGGGATCGAACCCGGCATCCCGACATTAACAAGCGTTACTTCAGCAATTACAGCATGGGATTTCAGGACCGTTGTTGCCATAATATGTATTTAGTGTGTTTCTTCTGAGATGCTCAAATCTCATCTTGTCTGCAGTCATTTCTTCCTTCTCCATCATTCCACATAGATCAAAGGAGTAGAACATCCCAAGTTAATGAGAACAATAATTGCAATGATCACGTCTTTGAAAATGTCCAAACCCTCATGGCAACAACAGAGGAAGCGCTGAAGAGGTACAAGGAAAATTTTAAACTAGCAGCAAAAACACAAAAGATTATTTAAAAAGCATTTACAAATGTTTTGACCACTGCAAAAACATAACACAAGGAACATGTTATATCAATAATACTTAAAGCAAAAAATTAAAAAAGGATCTAGATTGCCTTCGCTGTCGACAAGGCATATGATGACAGGCATGTCTGACACCCCGGGTTGTCTCCCATCATTTAGTATCTACAACACGAGCACCCAGCGGATTGATATATACGCTTATGAAAATAGAATACATTTCAATACATGCGTCAAAATAGGTACGTTAAACAAAGTATTGTCAAATAACTGTTTACATCATAGTAACCATAATACTGTTAACATTTATGTTAAGAAATAACATTTGTCTAATGGCACTATATTTCAATGAGTGATTGAGTTGCAACAGGAAGAAGGCCAGCGTAATGTTTTCCTTTACTGGCAGACGGCTGCAACATGAGGTACGTTCTCCCGCAGTTCTGCGCTCTATCCGCGTTTTATTTGTCTTTAATTTGTGCTGTGTTTGTAGATACACATTTTGTGGTTTGTATGGAACGGGGTGTGATGAAGGATTTGTCTTTTACAGTGATTGTAAGCTGCAAATTGTGTAGATGAAAACATCCCGATCTTGCACAATCAGTTGAAAGTCCAGCCATTGATACATAATACATGATGATGAGACATGTCATCAGAAGTTGAAGTAGTTGTAGTACTAACTACTAGTACTGCATAGAAGAGTGATGGTCGTTGATCGTTGTCTAATCTAAATGACTTCAGACCATCACTGTTGTATTCCTGCAAACACATTTTAGTGTCAGACACAAACCTCATTCATTGCGACATTGAAATTTTTAAAAATTGCACGTTTTTGTGATTAGTAGTTTAAAATTGCAAACAGATTTGATTATTAATTATTTAATTGCCCTGCCCGATGCTGTTTTTTTTCCTGCTAGTAGCTAAGTAGCTGCCCCATGTGCCGTTGTTACCAGCACACCGTAACTCATATCTTTATATCTCTCATCTCTATATTGCTGTCAGTCAGTGCTGTTTTTAGTAATTAGTGTTCATCAGAACTTTAAAAAAAAATAATATTTAATAAACTACAATTCAAGTGTGTGACTGACTGAGTGTGACTTGTAAAATGTATTATGATCACTTGTTTTATAAGGAAAAAACGATTTTTTTGAAAATTTGACTAAAAGTTGCTAGATTATCTCTATGATTGACTGTTAAGCTATCTTCCGAATAATGGTTCCAAATTATCTACGCAGAAAAGATACTTGAACAGGGCCTCAGTCATGTGCCAGTTGCATACTTCTGGGAACTATACCAGCGCCGTCGAATTGCAAACTTCCGACGCCTTTCGCTTCCGCCACTCACAAACAAAAAAAAACAAAGGCAGCTGCAGGAAATGCAGTAGCTGCTGCTCGTGAGTCCCTGGCCATCTAGTTTAGCCCCAATCCACGCCGCGTGAGCGGCATGTGGAGTACTCTCAGGGTGGTGGAGGTTGCCGAAAGTTCACAGTTCGGCGGCGGTAGAAGTCGTAGGAAGCTCGCATTTCAAGACGACGCAACTGCACAATTGACATGTGACTGAGGCCCTGTTAGGGTATATTTTCTGCGTAGATAATTTAAGATCGTTATTCAGAAGATAGCTGACTGTTGATTACAGAGAGTTACCATGAGAGTGACTGGCACATTACATACAACTGCTATCAACTCTTTGACAGTGGTTATATATAGTCAACTGCCAGTATAGCTGTCATTTATCTTAGGTTAGTTGCGTATCCTTTACAGGACGTTGCAAAACCAACCCCAACAGCCCCCGACCGTTGTGTGGTTTTTCTAGGCAAATTTATACGTCCAGTAGTTTGCCATTTTCTGGGTGATCTGCTTTCTTGGTACCACTGTCGAAACCAACGCAAGCCTCATGGTCTGCAGCTGGGATTCAACCTCGCATTACGAAGCGTTCGCATCGACTTAGCCACAGAGCTGACCATTTATCTTAAGCTGTCACATATTCACAAATTCATATGAGAGACAGGTCCCTAAGATCACACCCAGCAGATCTGAAAATTATCTGCCAAGACACTGGACAACAGTTCGGTCCCAAGTAACCACACTGGAAACTACACACAAGACTAATGCAGAATCTACAACAGCAAGCACAGAAAACTGATGTAGAAGTTGGAGAGTTGCAAACTGGAGCTTTGAAGATATATTGTGACATCTACAAGTGGAAGGGCTTGCATCACTTGATAAGACTCAAGACATTCAAGGATATGGGGTAATGAAGAGCAGGCTGAAAGATTGGCTGCTACTTTTCCTCATAGGCTACTGTTTTATAAATCAGATAGTGTGATGGCTCTTAGGATCAGATGAACAATGCAGTCGAATAGTGTTCATGTCTTGATCCAGAGGGAAGTGATCACAGGATCTGGGTGCAGGGAAAAAGACAAGCAAGCTTCAAGTTTTTATCCGGTTGCATCTGGCACTGTCTTTATTAGAACTTGTAACTACTACTGGTACCTTCAGAATTGGAACTCTTCACTGGCTGTTGAAGATGGGGACTGAGCACTTATGGGAATGTTCCTAATGCTGTGACTTCAGTTTTTAGCTCAGCTTTAACTCTATTGGATATTGTTAATGGGGACAGAGCAAGTATCAGAATGCATTGACATGGTTTTTCGTTTATTCATGTCTCGCATAATATTAATAAGGATGAAAATGTTGCATTGGCTCTGTTTATATAGAGTAAAACATAAAAGTTGAAGCAACTTGTCTATTTATGGTAACTTACAACTGTGATGTATTATCCTGATCACTTGGCTCTCAGAGAAATGGGAAGGGTAGAGGAGGCAGTGAATCCACATCACTCGCCAGAATGGCAGACTCTGGAATTAACATCGACATAGCAAAAAACAAGAACACACCAGAAGACTTGTTAATCAACATAGAACTGGTACTATTAGCCATCGGACGTTTGGGTTCATACTGTGAGAAGGATCTGAGCACCTATGGACATGTCCAAAGTGCAATGATAATAACCCAACTAACTAACTTGTCACTGTCACCCAAACAACTCTTTGCTGCTGTATAATAAAAGTCGCGTACATTTCTTTTGCAGTACTCTACGACTTCAGAAGCGCCTTGCTTCCAGGGTGCTTAAATGTGGAAAAAATAAAATCTGGTTGGATCCAAATGAAGCCAACGAGATTGCAAATGCAAATTCCCGTAAGTTTTTTTTTTTTTTTTTGTTAAGTCATATCTTTTGCTGTTCATAATATCTCATTTTTTTTTTTTTCTGTATCTTTTATTAGCTATTTTCCTCCCCCATCGGTAGGGTAGTGATTGGGTATGTTTGTTGAATAATTACCCAGAAGTTACTAGATCATAATTGATACATCATGTCTTCACCTACAAATAAATCAGACTTATTTCAAACTTTAACAAAGCAGTTTACTCGTAAGCATGCATGAATGCACATCATTTTTTTGTTGTTGAAAATTGTAGTGCAAGATAGATTTTGGTATATAAACTATTAATTTTTTTGCAGGTCAGAACATCAGAAAGTTGGTGAAAGATGGTCTTATCATTCGCAAACCTGTCAAGATTCACTCTCGTGCCCGAGTCCGTAAAAATGCTGAGGCTCGCCGCAAGGGAAGACACATGGGGCATGGCAAGAGGAAGGGTACGGGAGTGTCTGTGTCATTTAGAAATATTAGAGTATCTGTGAAAGAATAATTTATTTTTGTGCAAGCACTGAAGCTTTCTCTCAGCTATCTATCAGAAGAATAAGTTTTGTTTGATCAGTAAAGCCTTCTCTGAGCTGTCTGTCACAAGTGTTATTTTTGTATGATTGAACACTGAAGCCTTTTCTGAGCTGTCTGCCTAAAAAATATAGAATATAAAGTGTGTAGTCCTAGGCGGCTGTTTGAATATGTCTCTTGTATACATTTATTGCTTTATCATGATAAGACTGTCAAAAATATCCACCTGTTTTTGTTTGTGTATTTTTAATTTAACCACCATTTTCTATGTGTACATTAGGATGTCTAATGATGAAATACCTGGAGGGTACATTACTTATCCATGCTTTAGCTGAGACAGTCAGTACATTTGGGCTGAATCATTACCAGGTGTTAATCTGCCACTGTACAGATGCAAACTTGCAGTATCTGTCTTGTCCACTTTTCTGGTTACTGAGCTCAGTCATGAGAAGGCTCGTTGAGATAGAGATTTGGCACTGGGGTCTGGCGATGATTCTCGACACCACCCTTATGTAATAGAGGCAGGTCCTGGAAAATGGCTCAGATGCAATGGTCGGGGCTCTTTGACAGGGTTCCCCAACACATAAATAGCAAATTTTAAAATATGCATGAAATTATAATAATTTTCTTGGAGTGGTTAAAACAGGTGGCTGCAGTCAAGCTGGTATCAGGCAATTAATTAATTTACTGAACTGTGACTAAGAAGCTAAGCGAATGTTGGGAGGGGAAAAACTCACAACAGGAACAGTTGGAGGTTTCGACAGCAGCCTTTTTCGAACAAAATCATGAGAAGGAGATTATCACCACAGATGTCCATAATTAATTAAAATATAGGAAGAGGACAGCGCAGCACTTAGGCTAGGTCCTCTGTTTCTGACCACAGAGATAAAGAACATGATCTCTGTCACTGCCCTAAAATCTTGTGCTGGTTTTCAAACCACACATTCCACTATGGAAACTTACCTATTCATAGTTCATGTGTTTTGAAACCAGCACTTAATCAGTGTTCATCATATCTCCATCTAAATAATATCATTACTCTTACTTTTATAATTTTTTTGTTATAAATATTACTTATCTGTATGTTTAAGTTTTATACTTATTACTGTCACCATTGGCATTGTTGTTATTATTTTCACTACTACAATCATTTTATGTCAGCCGATCAACGTCGGTCTAAAATCTATCATTTATAATATATGGCATCATCGTATGTGTATTTTTGTCTTGCTTGTGTACCAGGTACTGCCAATGCTCGTATGCCAACTAAAATCCTATGGATTAGACGAATGAGGGTTCTACGTAGATTGCTCCGCAAGTACAGGGAAGCCAAGAAAATCGACAAGCACCTGTAAGTTGCCGTATGTATTCACTTCAGATGTGGTTCTGTGTGTAGTTACACAATCAAATTTAAGTCTGCAGCGACAACTCAGGTATGATATAGATTGCAATAGAAACAGATTAAACATTATTTTATAATTTTTTTAAACAAAATAAGAGTTCAGCTTCTAGTTGATGCAGAATGGAATGAGGGGATGAAGATTAATGTATAGGTTAATATGAATGATAATGAATAGATGACATTAAAATGAGTTGTTTAATAAAAAAAAAGGTTTCAACATATACTACAGAAGTTGTTACCTTGTGACGCTTGACTGACTTTGCTTCCTCTACCAGCTACCACGAGCTGTACATGAAGTGCAAGGGTAACGGCTTCAAGAACAAGCGTGTCCTCATGGAGTTCATTCACAAGAGGAAGGCAGAGAAGAGCAGATCCAAGATCCTCAGGTGAGTAGAAGCACCATGGCCAGTCATTGTCTATCTTGTCAAGTAGCTAGAGCGTGAGCAGTCATGATATTCACACTGTATAGTAAGACAAAAGGCACTTTGTGTTGGTTTGGTCCTTATTGTCCGGCACAAAGTTCAGGTTCTTCATCCAGCCCCAGACCTTAACCTTGTCCCAAAACCTGAATGTTGCATGTATATCAGTTTTACAGATCTGGCTTATTTGTTGGTTTCTTGTCTCTCAGGCAGATAGTTTCTTGTCTCTCAGGCAGATAGTTTCTTGTCTCTCAGGCAGATGCACTGACTGTTTTGGTTATCTTTCAATAGTTGGTCACTAGAATTTGCTGGAAACAAGCACTGGACAGACTGGAGGACTTGAGGCATGCTTTTTTTTTTTGTAGCCAACAGAATACTATGGGACAGGCTCTATTCTACACCCAGTATAGGGCCAGACCCACAGATCCTTTGGTATGTGCTGGCTGGAGACAGATCTTGTACTGTCTCAGATAATTTGACTCCTTATTTGCAGGTCGTGCATGTTTACAATGTCCTTATAATGCTTTGGGAATTTTAGTAAAGTTTAATCGGATGAACTAAATAAAAGAAATAAGAGAAAATGTCTGAACCACTGCTGGCATCAACAGTTATATGAGACAGGAGGTGAGGGTATATTGGGCACATTCTGAGGAAAAGCCAACAGAGAATCATCAAACAGGCATTTAAATGGGAAACAAGAGGATAGGGGACATGATGGTGTCCAGAAGAAACTATCCGGTGAATGTTAGTGAGAGAGGCTAAAGGTACTGAAACTGTTGCGCCGGATAAAATTGAATGGAAGAATAGACCGTGAGCCTTGTTAAAGAATATGCTTTGTCCGTGAATAAAAGCGGTTTCATATTTTCATCATTGTCACTTTGTAATCTTCTCCAGTGACCAAGCTGAAGCCCGCAGACAGAAGGTCAAGGAGGCTCGTCGCCGACGCGAAGAGCGTATTGCCCAGAAGAGGGAGGAGTTGCTGAAAAACATTGAAGAGCCCAAGAAATGATCCACTTGCTGGCGAATGCTGACATTCAAGATTATTTTTGTTTTGACATAAACATGAGAAGAAAATAAAATACAATTTCTTTGAATCTGTGTGAAGTATCTACCAACAGTTGTTATTAATTGTGGTGGTACAGCAGTGGATTATATAGATTGTGTTGCACTTTTCTCAATGTATGTCCTATTCTTTGTCTATTTATGCATAGCACTTGGATCTGTTTTGCTTAAAGTAAAACCTGATACAATGAGCCAGATCTGTAGAACAGATGTGCACCCAACACTAGGGTTCTGAAACAGGACTAGGGTCTCTAGGTGGATGACAACCAGAATTTTCCGTCAAAGTTTACAAGCAGTGAACGCGTAGGAGAAGATCCTACATGCTTTGCCCAGGCCTTAGATGACCAAAGGAGCAATGAGAAGACAAGAGCTATGTTAATGGGATCTTCCATGATAAACATTTCAAAGGTGAAAAATCAGACCAGAGATCCGACCCCCTGCCCTGAATGTACATGGTCTATGAACCGTCAAGGGCTGAGGTGTGCAACCCTAAATCAAGTCGGACATACAAAGCCAGAGGATAAGCAAAACCAGATGAAACGTCTCAGTTCATGGTGATGTTACATGGTGACTGGATGTTTCAGCTTTCCATGCACATCTTAAGAGAATCTTCATTGCGTTGGATTTTGTCACACGTAGCAGTGTCGGGTCGATGATAACACAGACTTGCTGGCTCCAGCCAGCACTGTCATAAACCAAAGGCCAGTGAAACCAGACATCTAATCTTTCAGGTAACTGTCTTTAGATGTTTAAAGTAGAAAGTTTGGTCTGTCGGATTTTTTCACTTGACTTTAAGAAATCACAAGGCTATATCTCAGCAATAATCCTTCACTATGAATTGTAGGCTTCCATTTACAACGGGGATGATCTGTCAACTAATTCCGGTCAAAACAGACGCTAGGTACGGTCACTGTTGTGAGCTGTGGCAAATTTTTGGTCCATTTAAAGACTGAAAGTATAGTTTCGTTGCCCAGCTTCTGAGGTAAGTGCATGGTGTGACACTGAGCTGCTGTTTTCATTTGGAATGTTTTTTTGTTTTTTTTTTACAGTAAACAACGTGGTGGTGTAAATTGTAGATTCAGAAAATGGAGCAATGCCTGTTGTGTCGCGTGTGCAACTGCTGATCTGTTGGTGACTTCTGCTACCATCCATGATGAACTGCATTTCTAATGGACTCCTTGGATGGCTACCACTTTATGTTTTAGTGTGTGTGTATGCTAGTGCATAAGCTGAGACAGCAGTCTGTCAATCTTTCAGCAAGGGACTGTGATAAACATTGTGTGTGTTTTTCATTGGCACAGGAATGGAGCAAGTATGGGGTGACCCGTTTGCTATGAAGCTGAAACTAAGTTTACCAGATTATCAACTAATTACTTAGCTGCAGATTTGTGTCAGACATTTAAAGCCATTTCTTTAAAAGGATTTTCACTCTGGACTAAGTGGAACGGTCCACATTTCTGGTGTACGGCCAGGATATACTGCAATGTCTTGCATAGAGTCCCATACAGAATGTCACAGGACCATCCCACGCTCGTATTTTCTTCATTTATGCAGGTCTCCTGCGATAAATGTCCATATTAATTCCTGAGGACCTAAGGTGCGCGTGTGGCTCGCTGTTGCGGATAGTACCAGGGCATTCTTGTTAGGTGTCCATACCACTTCATTTGTTGTTCTTTGATGACCTGTAAGACTGGCTTTATTCCTAGCATTCGTATGATTTCGTATTCTGTCTTTACACAGGAAACTACATACTAACTTCTTTGCCGCGTAAGCAGAAGTACAAAAAAAAAATAGTTTACAAGAGGTTATACAAAAACGATACCATATTATGGACAGACCTGAGCAAGTCATTATCCTTCGCCACAATCGATTTCGCTGCCACATGTACAACAAATTTAAGATTGGCCAATCAGTCATGTGTACCTGTGGACTGGCACCTGAGACAACAGATCACATCCTCCCAGATTCAACGCTTCCAGACAAAACTTCTGGCTAAAAGAGACACTTGTGGAAGTCAAAACTTTATGGGCCGCTTAGTGAATTACAAAAGACAGTGACATTCATACTAGAGACAGCATTGCAGATATAGATAATTTATTTCATGCGAACGAAAGAACAACAAAAACGTTACCTGCTTGTAAAAACCCTATAAACTTCAGATTAAATTTGTATTACTGCTCAGATTATCCCAGGCTAAGTACTTGGTTAGCATAGAGAATTTCAGTCTGGACTGGAACCAAAGGGCGATCTCCTGAATGATCTGCAGAGCTCTTTATCTCTCCACATTCTTCTGCTTCCTCTGCTGCTATGTTCACCGGTTACAAGCTCAGTGGAAAGTTGTCTGTGAATTTCGGTCTTGTTATGATCGTTGAAAATTGCGCACTCGTTTTCTAGATTGTACTTACTGCGTGCATACTTGGTTTCCGGTCTCTCAGGTAGATGCTCGAACGAAATATCGGCCCTATATCACCAGTGAGGGTAGTGGGGCCTTTTTGTGTGTGTGGAGAAAACCACAGCTGTCAGAAGAACAGATTGGATTTAGGAGAAATAGAAGCTGCACAGATGCAATCTTCACACTTAAACAGTTAATAGAAAAGAACATTGAATACAATAAGAACTTGTTTGTGGCATTCGTAGACCAGGAAAAAACATTTGACAGAGTCGACAGACAAATTATTATGGAAAGTAATGGCAAGATATGGAGTAAGCGAACACCTCATCGAAGTGTGCAAAAGTTTATACAGGGATTGTAGAAGTGTAGTTAGAATAAATCAGGAAACATCTCATCCTTTCACAGTGACATCTGGAGTAAGACAGGGGTGTGTCTTATCACCACTGCTGTTTATCACTTACATCGACAGTATATGCAAGAATGCCAAGCCCATGAATGAAGATCTTAGTAAGATCAACGAATTACTCTTTGCAGATGACCAGGATTTGATAGCAGATACAGCCATGCAATTGCAACAACATCTAACATCCATGAATGAAGAATGTAAAACAAATAATATGAGAATCAACACTGAAAAAACAGAAGTAATGTCAATAGGAAAAAAGAAGACGGATCTAAACATAGCAAAAGAGTGCAAAGGCATTAAACAGGTATCTGGGTTTACATATCTGGGAACTACATTTACCGAAGATGGGAAATTGGATAAAGAAATTAACATTAGATGCAGTAAAGCAAACCAAGTATTGGGACAGCTAGCTCCCCTCTTACAGCATAAGACAATCCCAATCAGCACAAAGAGACATCTTATTCAAAGCATATTTATTCCAACCCTGTGCTACCAATGCCAGACATGGTCACTCTCAACAAACCATAAAAGAAAATTAGTAACCATGGAAATGAGATGTCTGAGAAGGGCTGTAGGAGTGACCATAAGAGACAAGATCAGGAATGAGATCATAAGAGAAAAAGTCGGCACAGAACCAATTCTAAATTACATACAAAGACAGCAAGTGAAATGGTTTGCCCACTTAGACAGAATGCCTTGTGACACCATACCATACAAAGCATACATGGAAAGAGAAGAAGGACGTAGAGCACGAAGTAGGCCAAGAACAAGATGGAAGGATAACATCAGAGAAACTCTACAACAGCACGATGTGCCTATGGTCGAGGCGGCCAGAAGAGCTAGAAAGAGAACCTTATTTCTCCCTCGACACCCACACCAGTAAAAGAGGAAGTGAAGAAGAAGGAGGAGAAAACAATGATAGACCTACTGCCTCCCCAAGAAGCATGACGTAACAGTAGACAAATTTGACGCAGACAGTGGACTGAGTTATTGCAAAACTCTCCTGTGTGTCCCAGATGTTGTTGACAATGAAAGAGCTGACAGACTGGCAGGTTCCGCATTAAGCGCAGATGGCCAAATCGTGGATCACGCAGACATTATTAATGCCCTAAGAGAGATAGGCGTTCCGATGATTTTGGAAGCAACGTGTCCACATCACTGCTAAGAATACGAGAATTGGGAGTAAAGATGTGCACAGCCAAGCATGAGAAGCACACGAAGTCTTGTCAACCAGCCTAGGACTGGCACCATTAACCGCGCGACGCTGATGAATAAGTTGAAGGGGGATCCGAGCACCAATGGATGCGTCCCGAGTGTGGTAAAGATAATATAACTTATAACTTCGGGTGATTCCTTTTCATGGTTATAAACTGTTTCCAGGCCGTTGACTGACTCTCTACCCCACCAGGACATCACACAAGCGATAAACAACCAATGACACAAAGTGCCACCATGTGGATAAGAATCGCGTGGAGAGGTCACAGAAACTGCGTTCAGACAATTGGCCATATTTATGGCCTGCCTATATTGCGGCCCCTGGCAAAAGCCAGGGTGGGGCTTCAAAAAAACTTCATCCTAAAAAGGACGAAACTGGATAATTCCTACCAGGCCGTTTCTGATTTTCTCTAAATAAGGCTTTTGACTTTTGGTGTGATTGGCAGGTAGATTTGTGGTTAGCTGCTGCATTCTACGACTGCGCTTTCATAGTTTTGGAGACACAACGGAATAGAGTCCACTACAGGCGAGTGCCTTTGTGAGCAACTTGGCATGTTCCTTTGCTAGACTCTGTAGTGTGCTGTCAGTAACTGTGGCCTGTATGGCTGACAGTGAAACTGTGAGAAAAACTATCCTGCCTGCAGATGTTAGTCCATATATATGCCGTATGGTAAAATTCAGGGATTTATGTGTTTGTATTATTATCCGTTTGTGTAGTTTGCTGATGAAGACTTTCTAACCGCAACGTTCATGATTGTGGTATAATTATTCTGACTAGTTCTACTTCTCGCCTGGATAGTCGTTTGTTTATAACAATCAATATACATCGCGGCGCACCTGTCCCAGGTGACTGGCGCTGCTGGAACAAGTTATCATTTTCAATAACCCGGAACGAGGAAGCAAACATTGAAACTGTAAGACGGCATGAGGGAGACGGATTTGATTGAACAACAAATAGAAACCAATATCAGTAGTAGCTAGAACATATGTTCATCTCTTTCTGTGTCAGTTACATTTTATTTTTAGAAATAGTGTTTTGTTATTTTCTGCTTTGCTTTAGGCTTTATAAAGTTGTGTAAAGTAATACTAATATAGTCATTTAAAAGTAGCACAACAACAATGGCTTCGTAGAGACGGTTGAAGTTTAACTAACTTAAACAAGATTTCCCGTTCTCGTCCTGGAAGGGAGAGAAAGAGGACATATCCCTGAGACATACAAAACATGCAGTTTACAAAATTAAAAATGTAACAAAATCGTACGTTGCGGAGATGCCATCTGACTGATTGAGTAATACTGCTGAGTTTATTTAACTGTTAGGTAAAATGAAGGCTAAAGGAAAGTACCCTTCTGACCACCAGTGACTCACTGGACATATGATGCTAGACTATGGTGACTACAGACAAATCTGCACTCAGTAGGTGATATGTTAACAGCACGCTAGCCACCTTTACTTCCAGGATATTACCTGGTTTATATAGGTGACACAGAAACAACGTCACTAATTACAGTCACAACAAAAAGTTCAAAACCCACCAATGGAAACCACACGGTTGTTCTGTTTCTGTTAAAGAAATTGAGTATTAAAAAGTAAAGGACCCTTTTTTACGCATATAGGGTTAGACCTATATTTTATAGATCAATCGGCAAGATGGGTGATGTGGTCAGCATTGCGCCGGCCACCTTTACTTCCTAGGACTGCACCCGATACCCACTCAAGGCTGGGTCGACCTGGGAGCCAAAGTCATTTTTGAAAAAATGTCCGGCTTCATCAGGGAGCTAACCCACGACGTTCCAATCCACGGCAAGCGTCTAGCCGCTGTGCCACTGCGACTCCCAAATTGAGTATTACATTAATTAAATTCTTTCCCATTTCCCAGGTTGTCCACAATAATTTAATGAATGCTTAATTCTTAATCTTCTTAGCATTCACCAGCTGTAAACTCTGGTGGAAAGTTCTGGTTATTTATCATTTCTGGTCTCATTCCAGTTTTGCGTGGATATCTATTTTACAGATCTTGCTTATTTGAATGCAGACTGCTAGTTCCCCACCTCTTAGGCAGAAGGTACATTTAGACTTCAAAGGAATCTCCTCTAATTAGTTGCCTTGTATGACATGCTTGTTAGGGAAGCAATGGTTCTATCCCCTCAACCCATCTCTCCCACATGAAGAGAATACTCCACTGATCATTTAAGTTTTGAGTTGCAGTCGCTGTGGAGTAGATGGTCTTTATACAGACACTTGCAAGTGAAAATGAACATGTAGTCGAACACAATAACAGTTTTCTTCTTTTGTCAATATCTGCTTTTTGCTGCTGGATGTAGCAACTGAACAGATGTTATGTAGTCATGCTAGGACAGGCTTAGATGCTAGGTATGCTGCGATGTTGTGAAGTCTTCAATTGTCAGTGACTTCTTCAGTCCATTTCCCTCTGGGTCTCCCTCTGCCTCTTGTTTCCCATGTTATAAGCTCCGATGCTGGCATCATTGGGTTCCTTCTTACTATGTGTTCAAACCATATGAGTCATTGTTTGCTTGGTAAATTCAACAATGGGTATTATCCCAATAATTGTAATCTCTTCATTTCTCAATTTCTTCTGTTTTTTTTAAACATCATTTCACAGCAGGTTAGTTTTCTCTTGTATTCTTGGCTTTTTACATTTAAAATTGGTCTTTTTTATGTCTGTTGAAATAGCCAGGTATTGCAAGATTAAAGTAAGTTGATGGAGGTGAAGGGTAATGTAACATATGTCTGTGATAAAATAAAGTATAAAAAAAAAACATTGTACTTTCTCTGGGCTAACCAATGAACATACCATGAGTTGCTCGGCTTGGTACAGAAAGATCAAACACCACCAACCTTATCTGACATAATTGTTTTCAGAAACGATCTCCAGTGCAATATAATTGTAACTTATTTCTGTATGAGCTGGTCATAATTCACAAACAAGGGCTACCATTTTCTCGTTGCTAGCAACAAATGTATTTTTATGTAACTTGTCAACACAGTTCTCTAATGTTTTTTGTGCAGGTATCTGAAGAAATATGGCAGCCAGTGCAGCTCCAAGAGGTTATGGGATTGAGCCCAGCAAAGTGACGAGAACTGCACATAGTTCTACTTATAATTTCAGCGACGACGAAACAAAAATCAGCTTCTCCTGTGCCAACGGAACATTGTTTCTTAAACTGTCTTCTGTGCTGCTGGTTGTCAGTTTTATTTTGCAGGTCAGTGAAGCCTTGTATGTTTTGTTTGGTTTCATTTTGCAAGTTACTGAACCTTTGTATGTATTGTTTGGTTTCATTTTACAAGTTACTGAACCTTTGTATGTATTGTTTGGTTTCATTTTGCAAGTTACTGAACCTTTGTATGTATTGTTTGGTTTCATTTTACAAGTTACTGAACCTTTGTATGTTTTTCTTTTTTTTTTCATTTTACAGGTTATTCTCCATTTAGGGTTCCAGGCCCCATTATGGGGAAAACAAGAACAGACCCGCCACCTCCCTCGACTAATTTGGGAATTTCTTGGAAATCGGAGTGCATCTGACTTAGAAGCAAGGAACCAGCAGTATGTCTACCAATAAGCCAAATCTGTAAAACGGATGTGCATGCAACACTCAAGTTCTGGAACAGGACGAATGTTCAGATGTGGATGAACAACCAGAACTTTCTACTGGAGCTAACAGCTGGTGAACACAAAGAAGAAGAAGATTTTACAAATTATTGAGCTCTTGTATGTTTTTCTATCTTTCTTTTCGTGCATAGCAGCAAGTAAATTCAAGGACCATTGTCACATGGTGCGTGATGTGGTCATCATTCCAGTGGCCACCTTTACTTCCCAGGATATTACCTTGTAAGGTTGGGTTGACCTGGGAGCCAGGGTCGGTGTTGAAACAAAAATGAGACTTGATGTGGATTTGAACCTAAGACCTTTAGGCTGGCAGTTTATCATCTAGCTGCTACACCACCATTGCTTCCATTGTTTATCTGGGACTCTGAGATTCATTTGATTCAGTATCAACCACATTTACACATGTTGGTGATATAGAGGTATATGACATTCACATATGTAGGTGGGAAAAGAAAATTTACACGTGCAGGTGGTATAGAGACTCATATGAGGCTTTTAACAGTAGAACATCTGGGAGGAAGGTGAGAGGAAGACCAAGAAAGAGAAGGATAAATGGTGTAGCTGCAAAAAGATTAACAAATCAATCACCCAAGCTACCTGAGAAGCGCAAGACAAATACAGAACACCACGACACTGGGCTACAACGTGGTCTCAGTGAGACAACAAAACCACCTCATTGGACTACAACCTGGTCTCAGTGAGGCAACAAAACCACGACACTGGACTACAACTTGGTCTCAGTGAGGCAACAAAACCACGACACTGGACTACAACTTGGTCTCAGTGAGATGACAAAAGAAAGAAGAAGGTGGTATAGAGGTGTAAGACGTAAGTCATGTACATATGTGGGAGGTATAGGGCATTTACACAGTTTGGTATAAGTCATTTACACAAGTGGATTTTAAAGGACATTTACATGTACGGATGGTACCTTAACACATGGACTGTATATAATTCTCATGAAAACGTCCTGTTAAACTTTTGGGCCTCCTTTGATTGGTAGGTCGTAGCTGTTGGCTCCCCCTATTGGGCTGCAGGATGGAGGCGAGACAAAATGTCCTGGCATGAAGGTGTGTGGATGACCTGTTACCGGACAGAGCTGGATAACAAGTGGATCTGCGGAGCTTATGACTACAGCAACAGTACACCAGGAGTTCCAAGTACGTCTTGTTTACAGATCTGTTTTCTCTTTTGTTGTTTCATTACATGACATATGTACTATTTTTTGCTATCAATACCATTACATTTGTATCATTACGTAACAGATGTATCCCTGCTGGTGATATCAATACCATTACATTTGTATCATTACATAACAGATGTATCCCTGCTGGTGTGTAAACTAAAGGACCCAGTTCCATAATCATAAAAAAATATATCTTGAAATCAACTGGCACCTGGTGATGATGTGGTCAGCAAGTGAGCTATCAGTTGTGCTAGTGTATCTCTTGACACAAGCCTTGTTCCGATAGATGCAAGCCCACTACAGGGCTGGGACAACCTTAGAGACGCAAGCCCACTAGAAGGCTGGGACAACCTTGCTCTAAGAGATGCAAGCCCACTAGAAGGCTGGGACAACCTTGCTCTAAGAGATGCAAGCCCACTAGAGGGCTGGGACAACTTTACTCTAAGAGATGCAAGCCCACTACAGGGCTGGGACAACCTTACTCTGAGAGACGCAAGCCCACTAGAAGGCTGGGACAACCTTACTCTGAGAGATGCAAGCCCACTAGAAGGCTGGGACAACCTTACTCTGAGAGATGCAAGCCCACTAGAAGGCTGGGACAACCTTACTCTAAGAGATGCAAGCCCACTAGAAGGCTGGGACAACCTTACTCTGAGAGATGCAAGCCCACTAGAGGGCTGGGACAACCTTAGAGACGCAAGCCCACTAGAAGGCTGGGACAACCTTACTCTGAGAGATGCAAGCCCACTAGAAGGCTGGGACAACCTTATTCTGAGAGATGCAAGCCCACTAGAAGGCTGGGACAACCTTACTCTGAGATGCAAGCCCACTAGAAGGCTGGGACAACCTTACTCTGAGATGCAAGCCCACTAGAGGGCTGGGACAACATTAGAGACGCAAGCCCACTAGAAGGCTGGGACAACCTTACTCTGAGAGATGCAAGCCCACTAGAGGGCTGGGATAACCTTAGAGACGCAAGCCCACTAGAAGGCTGGGACAACCTTACTCTAAGAGATGCAAGCCCACTAGAGGGCTGGGACGACTTTGCTCTAAGAGATGCAAGCCCACTAGAGGGCTGGGACAACCTTACTCTGAGAGATGCAAGGCCACTAGAAGGCTGGGACAACCTCACTCTAAGAGATGCAAGCCCACTAGAGGGCTGGGACAACCTTGCTGAGAGATGCAAGCCCACTAGAGGGCTGGGACAACCTTGCTCCAAGAGATATCACTGGTGAGGCATGATCAAATCACGTGTAAGTGTTAGCAGGTGAAAATTACACTTGAGACGGTTTACAAGCATTGTAAGTAACTGGTAGCTTTTACACGTTAGTTTCAGAATAAGTGGGGACAATTCATGCCCAGGTGAACTGATTATCTATACAGATGGTTCGGTATTGAGAGAAAAGAGAAGTGCCTGGGGGTTTGTAGCGAAAGCCAATGGTAAGGCAAGACAGCCTGACATATGACATCAAAACAGTGGAGGCGGTAACTGCAGTGGCTAGAGAATAAGATGCATAGACGTCGTAATTGTAACAGACTCAGAAAGCATGCTGAGAAAGGTGAAGACAGGGATACTTCGAGCAGAGTGGCAAGCTTAACTTCAAAGGTCACATGTAGTGAGCATGCTTTGGATCTTTTCTCCGGGCCATGCTGGTGTGATGGGTAATGAACAGGCAGAAAGATTGGCTTGATCTGCCCCACTGGGTGGTGAACTGATACATGACAAGGCAGATGTGGTCAAGGCCCTTTGGGAACAAGCAACAGAATCAGTAGAGACACAAGATTATTATGGCCTGGAGGGAATGAAGCACCTGAGTGTAAACAGAGGGTCTGGCTGGCTCAATACACTCAGAGGAAAGACAGGAGGGACATATAACCAGATTGTGACCAGTACCATCAGTATTGGAACTCTGCGCTGGCTGCTGAAGATGAGGATGGAGCACACGGGAATGCCCTGAATGCTGTGATGACAATTTTTGACTCAGCTCAGCCACTAGAGAGTTCACAACCAACCAACTGAACATAGAATACAGGGTGCACAATAGGAACTTTGCTGCCTGAACGACATGAATGAACCAAGAAATAATACATTACCTGAAATAATGCACACTCCATATTCCATGTATAAACTCACCATAGTTGTAAAGAGTAATATTTTATTTATTCAGTTTAAACAAAAAAATCTCCTAACGTAGAAAAGGCTGTTAACAACTCATATACAGTTTTCTTGTCTCTGTCTCTTCCTACTGCACCTATGTCTTCCTCTCTTGGCTGGCTCAGTTTTCTACACTAGCTCTTTAAAACATTGATTCTGCCATAATGTTAGCAGGCATCAGGTAATGAATGTGTGAGTTTATTAGTCATATTGTTTTGTCACTCACGGTTTCTAAACATACAACAGTACTGATATTCATTTTTTCATCTTCAGCATTCCAAACCCTTGAGTTATCTAATGTCATTGCAGTCGATGTCATTGCCCATTGGGCATTCCCATGTGTGCTCCGTCTTCTGATGCAGCAGCCATTCCAAATTACCAGCATGCAGAGCCCTTGAGGTTCACTTCTGCATCACCTACCTACATTCATCTGTGATTTGTCCTCTTTCCAGTTAGTTTTCTTATTCTTCTTTTCGTTCATCAGCCGTATGCAGAAAGTTCTATTTGTTCAGCCACCTCTAGACTTTAATCTTCTTCCAGTACGTAAGTGTTGCATGCACATCCATTTTACAGATCTGACATATTTGTATGCAGATTGTTGGTTTGTTACCCCTCAGGCAGATATACTATGACTTTGAAAGAAGCCCCAACTAGTCAACATGCTTGTTGTTGGTAAGGCAGTGGGTCTGTTCTTGTTTTACCCCCAGTGGGGCCCCAGAACCCCACACAGGGATTTCCAGCTAGTGACTCCAGTTGTTTGTAAGCCTGCCTGTATATTAATTTTTCCACAATCTTCTTGATCTACCTCCTGGTCTACTGACTTCATGTTGAAGTAAAATATTGTAAGTTTGTTTCTAGATTTAGTTCCCACTACCACATATTTTTCATTGCTAATATTGCTTCTATTGAGTAAAATGAAATTGATCTTCCACAGTGTGGTACGCTGCAGTCCAAGCCATGGGTCTAATGTCACTGGTTGTCTTTCTCCCCGCCCTCATCATCAACTTCTTCTACACCATGCACCCAAAGGGAACAATGTTCAGAGGGATGATGTGGTTTAACCTTGCACTCACATGTGTCACTGGTAAGTGGTGTTGAGTCAAATGATGTGGTTTAACCTTGCACTTACATGTGTCACTGGTAAGTGGTGTTGAGTCAAATGATGTGGTTTAACCTTGCACTCACATGTGTCACTGGTAAGTGGTGTTGAGTCAAATGATGTGGTTTAACCTTGCACTCATATGTGTCACTGGTAAGTGGTGTTGAGTCGAATGATGTGGTTTAACCTTGCACTCATATGTGTCACTGGTAAGTGGTGTTGAGTCGAATGATGTGGTTTAACCTTGCACTCACATGTGTCACTGGTAAGTGGTGTTGAGTCGAATGATGTGGTTTAACCTTGCACTCAGATGTGTCACTGGTAAGTGGTGTTGAGTCAAATGATGTGGTTTAACCTCGCACTTACATGTGTCACTGGTAAGTGGTGTTGAGTCAAATGATGTGGTTTAACCTTGCACTCACATGTGTCACTGGTAAGTGGTGTTGAGTCAAATGATGTGGTTTAACTGTGTACTCGCATATGTAAATGTTGTTTTCCCCTTCTCCTGATGTGCCCAAACAAACTTTTTCTGATGCAGGTCGTTCTCCTCTCTGCGGAGTCGTGAGCATGAGGATCTAGGTCTCCATGAACTAGGAGTTAGCATTTTTATTTTTGTCCCTGACAGAAGAAATTTCTATCACTTCCTGAAATTCAGAATTTGCAGGTTTTGATTGTTATCCCCGATAGAGGAAATCTCTATCCCTTTCTGAGATTCAGACTTTGCAGGTTAAGATTTCTATTTTTGTCCCTGACAGAGAAAATCTCTTATCTGTTTCTGAGATTTGAACTTGGGTCTTCTATATGAGAGCTCTAACGCTTACCAGACATGTGAATTCAAGAATTTTGTAAGCTACAGATGCAAAAAAATAAATATCTTGCCCGAGACACATTGCGTTTTTAAATCATAACAATTTGAATGACATGATTGTTCTGTCTTGCAGGTGTCCTGCCACTTGCCATGGTCATCGTTTTTATTGCTGGACACCCAAAACGAGACAGATTCCCCATTCCTTATATGGACCAGTACTATGACGACGATCCCTTTCTAATCCACTTCTGCTTTATTTTTGAGATACTAGCAGCCATTGTTTCATTGGTTGCATTTGTTTTGGAAATAACTGACTTCAGAAAAAGCAATTATTAAAAAAAGTGATGTAGATCATAAACGAAACAAATTTTGGATAGCCGATAAATAATTCGTTTCTCAAAAGACACATGAGGTGTATTTTCTCACAATTAGAAAACATCATGAATAGCTGAGGAATCTAACCCAGAGGCCAGGAAATTCAGCTTGAGTAGAATATATTTAGGAAAGTAATTAAAATTTGTTGGCTCTATGAAAAAAATCAAATAGAAGAAGAAAAAAGAAAAAACAAACAGACAGCGAATGTAACATAGTCTTATATTTAGTACTGGTTTTGTTATCACAATACTGTCAGATTGCTGTTAAATTCATGGTAACATTTCAAAACCAGGTATTCTACTGAAGTAGCATCAGTACTCATGGATGCTTCACTTGATGTTATTTTCTGGCACAAAACTTGGTAAACTTTGGCAGTTCTGACGTTCCACATTAATTCCCATGAAAGTGCCTTGTTTAAAAAAAAAATATGGAGTTTAATACTTATTTTTGTACCTAGAAGTACTTTTTTGGGGTGATGTTTTTTAATAATCAGTTCATGTATGTAATGTGGTATAGTGGAAATACTTCCTCTTCTTCGAACACCCTTAAAAGGAGGGGTGACACAGTACTGCTCAGGAGCAGCAGACCATTGATTAGTCACCTTAATTGAGGGCAGGGGGGTCTGTTCTTTTCTCCTCTAAAATGGGACGCGAGAATCCCTACTGGGATCCCAGAACCCCCGTTGGTTGAGTGGAATTATTAGGGAGACATTGACCTTCTTTGCTTGTAAAAAGCCGTGAAAAGGGAGATGGCGTAAGACTTGTTTAACAGAAAATGGGAGTCAGATGGAGAAAATGGGAGTCAGATGGAGAAAATGGGAGTCAGATGGAGAAAATGGGAGTCAGATGGAGAAAATGGGAGTCAGATGGCAGAAAATGGGAGTCAGATGGCAGAAAATGGGAGTCAGATGGAGAAAATGGGAGTCAGATGGCAGAAAATGGGAGTCAGATGGAGAAAATGGGAGTCAGATGGCAGAAAATGGGAGTCAGATGGCAGAAAATGGGAGTCAGATGGCAGAAAATGGGAGTCAGATGGCAGAAAATGGGAGTCAGATGGCAGAAAATGGGAGTCAGATGGCAGAAAATGGGAGTCAGATGGAGAAAATGGGAGTCAGATGGAGAAAATGGGAGTCAGATGGCAGAAAATGGGAGTCAGATGGCAGAAAATGGGAGTCAGATGGCAGAAAATGGGAGTCAGATGGCAGAAAATGGGAGTCAGATGGCAGAAAATGGGAGTCAGATGGCAGAAAATGGGAGTCAGATGGCAGAAAAAGAAACCTACAATTTATTATTAGTTAGTTTCTACTGATCATCCTCATCGTACATTGAAAAATCCACAAGCGCTGATATGCTGTCTTTAACACTGACTGACTTCCGCCTCAGAGTGGTTGTGGCCATTCTCTAGAACATATTGCTGATAGCCAGCCAACATAGTGAGTTACATTGACGTTTTTGCCATAAACTTGTTTTATAATTGTCAGGAACTGTCCCACATAACTGCTGACTTGTTACAGGCATAATTTGAATATAAGTTCATTGGTGCCAGTGTTTTCTGGTTCCACATTTTTACTTTTTGCACAGATGTGAATACTTATTAACTGTAGAAATATTTTAAATGTTGCTTTATTTAGGTAGATTTGTGTGTATACATGCATGTCTCAGTGATTATATTCCAGATTTGGCAAGATTACTTAATTTGTGGTATATTTTGTAAAACTGTCCCTTGTTTTAGATGCTTCATTCTTGTAAGATAACTCATACACATTGAATAATAAACCATGTGTTACCTCAAATTAAATGTATTCATCATCATCCCTGTCTTGTTTTTCCCACAATGGGACTCCGGAACTCACACAAGGAGTCTGAAGGAAGTAAACTTGACACAAATGCATGTTGGAAAGGCACAAGCCTGGTCCCGATGCACTTGTTTCAACAGAGAAATCAGGAAGACTGAACAGCAAGTGATAACCTGAAACACTAAAAAGTTTCTCATGTCCAGAACTATACAAGTTGTGACCCACCTATTTCAGAACCAGAAGACTTAAAACACATCCTTCCCCAGGCAGTGGCAAAGTACTCACCTGCTGGCTCCAAGGCCTTGGATTCAAATCCTGATCGAGTCAGATTTCTCCCCCAAAACCGACTCCCAGGCTGCAGTACCAGGACATGTGCTGGGAAGTAAAGGCGGCCAGCATAATATTGACCACCTCACCCACAGAGTGCCATTTGGTTTAGAACAAAGCCAAGCATTATATGCATGCAGCAGCACGAGAGTACCAAGGGTCCTTGCTTACTTGCACGCCTCAACCTTTTCCAAGTATTTTTTAGAAAGAATCACATTTTATAACGTCTAAAACTCCACGCTAAGAAATCCAGAGCAAGAGAAGCAACAGCACAGGCATGCAGTTTTGCTCAGTTTTTATAAAAATCCAAGGGACTGGAACCTATGACCACCGAGCAGACAGGCAAGCATGATGGTCAGTGTAACACCCCAAACTGCAAGTTTTTTTTGTGTGCAATGGTATTTAAAGAAAAAAAAAAGATCTTTTCTTCCCTCTTCAAGTAGTACTTTTGTTGAATGTTTCCCCCTAGCCCCTATAACACCATTTATTGTTGGGTCACCAGTTGCTGTCGACACCCGATCAGCTGCCTCCACCTCTTTTAGCCAGATGCCTAGGACTTGATATTTGTAACCTGTCTCATCATCATGTAGCAGGTCTTTTGCAGAACGTCAGTCTTATCAGGGTCTGCCTGAAAGAAACTCGGTCTCTCGCCTTATGTACTTTCATACTCACTTATATCCTGTGCCCATCTTCGTGTTGGTCGGCCCCTGACCCTCCTTCCTGGTACCATGCCTTCTGCTATAGTTTTTTCCAATCCCTCTTGGCGCTTGACATGACCAAAATATTTCAGCTTCTGAGACAGGATGCTGTTTATTAGCCAATCTTCCTTGATGTTCAGATCTTTTAAGATGTCAGTATTTCCCCTCTTCTTTGTAGCCTGTCTATTCAACCACATTCAATATCTAGCCTTTCTTGGTCTGTCTGCTCATCTCTACTGAGCCCTGTAGTATCACTTTGGTGAGGCAAGTAACCCTATCACACTACTGAGCCCTGTAGTATCACTTTGGTGAGGCAAGTTACCCTGTCACACAACTGAGCCCTGTAGTATCACTTTGGTGAGGCAAGTTACCCTGTCACACATAGCATTTTCTGTCTTAGTAGAAGAGCTGCCAGTGTGTTGAGTGATGGCCAACTTTGTTATTTGGTCTCTGAGGAAACACCAAAGATCTTAAATGGATGTTTACTAGATTAAACACACTCTTGGAAGGCTAACCGGGTCAACAAATGCCCGCAAAGTCAGATGTTTCGGCCGAATGTCACAGCCATGCTGTAAAGGGGCACAACAAATTATATTTCAGATAAACGCAGAAGAGGATTAAAAACACAAATGGCACACACACACAGGTCCTTGTTTCCCCCAATCCATTTGTGTCAAATCTCACCACTGCAGGATTGAAAGAAAAATGTTTTTGAAGTAATTTTCATGTTGCTCGTGTATTTAACATGATACTGAAAATGTTCTTACTGACAGAAATGTTTGCCAATGACCAATAAACTGCAACATTATATTTGGTCTTTCTCCTTCTAGCATATGGTCTGTTATATGTATTATTTATAATCAAACACATACAGTTCATCAGGGCTTATATTAACCTGTTTAGCAATTATCCAAATAGTGTGCATAATATTTTGTGATCTGTTTCTTATAACTGTACCATTGACTGTCCAGTCAATTTCCTTCATTATTTGCCTTACTTTTTTCATCTCATTTAATTTATATCTGTTTCTTTAGGCATTTCTGTTTCAATGCCCTTAACTGTTATGTCATACCTCTCTCTGCATCAGAACAGGTAATAATACATTAGAGTATGATACGTTCCTTAGTAGGCAACGAGTTTAGTGCTTTTCCCAACTTTCACTTGCACAGGTCAAAATCTAAATAGAATTAAAAAATATGTAGCTAGTTTTAAAACTATATAACCTACATGTTTCATATTTTGTTCATGGAAAGAATCTTTACAAAGAAAAAAATCAAGTAATGGAGAAATTAAAATTAAAAAACTGGACACAAGACTGTTTAAGATATCGCATGTAATATAGAGTCCAAGAATGACATTCAACAAGTCGTATATAATAAACACAATAACCTCCAATATAAAATTCTAGAAACAATAAAAATATTCAAGCAAGCCATCTTGCCAGCAAATTAAAACTATCAAAACTTTGTACATGATTTAATTAAAAATCTGTACTCAATCAAGGTGGACAGAAATATGTCATCCACGGAACAATCCATCTGTGTGTTTTATAAATAATAACTGATTTAAGATAGTTTATGATAGTTTGGAACATTACCGGCACCATGGTTAAGTTTGTACAAATGCCACTAAATTGACACGCACACAAAAATCACAATTTATTCACCTGAGTTATCTGTGGTGTTAGTAATGTATTAATTAGCCATTAACATGACTACTGAGTATTTGTCTAAATGCAGGTGCTTCCAACATGCCAAGCCAAAATCATATAAACTTGCTTGAGCCTGCATGCAGACAGTTGAGCTACAGGATAATCATAGCCAGCCTCATGAGCTGGATCCTATATATGGAGGCATTATATTCTCAATAATGCCTGGGACTTGAGCACTGAGAAGCTCACAACCAACACAATGCAAGCCAGCAGGGTTTCAGCAAGCCCCCATGTCATGAACACAACTTCTCCGTAGTTATCAGGGCACACAGACAGCAGATCAGTCGTACTGACTAGCAACACAATCAAGGAGACACTGCCACACGTCAGAACATTAACAAATTTAGGGAAAAAACACATCATATATCAGCAATAACTAGACAACAATGGATGGATATTTGGACGGCTTGTACAACTGACCTAATACACT